TTCTCTATAGGATAAATGTATGAATATCAGTGGTTAAACAGATATGCCACAATGATGAATATTGCGTTTTAGGGTGATGGGCGCTTGGCCCAAAAGGCCGATGGAGACTGAATGCTGAGGAGACATTCACTGCTAATAATACATACAATGCTGGGTATATATATGTACAGTTGTGTTCAAAATAATAGCAGTGTGTTGAAAAAAGTGAATAAAGCTGAAAATCCTTCTAATAGCTTTTATTTCCATCCACACAAATGCATTGGGAACACGACACATTCTATTCCAAATCACAACATGAAGAAAAATACATCAAATTTGTGTTGTTCCTCTAAAAAAAATGGAAGAAAAGTGAATATTAGACGGTTCAAAAAAATCGCAGTGTTTGTATTCTTCTTTACAAACTCAAACATTCACTATATAAACTGAGAAATGTTTGAAGATTTTGCTTTCCTTTGAATGACTTCATGAATATTTGGTTGTAGTCGCACTGTTTCTGAGAACTGCTGGACATCTGTGTTGCATGGAGTCACCCAACTTCTGGCCCCTGTGATCAGGTATTCCAGCCCAGGATGATTGGACCACATTCCACAGTTCTTCTCTATTTCTTGGTTTTGCCTCAGAAATGGCATTTTTGATGTCACCCCACAAGTTTTCTATTGGATGAAGATCCGGGGATTGGGCTGGCCACTCCATAACGTCCATCTTGTTGGTCTGGAACCAAGATGTTGCACCTTTACTGGTGTGTTTGGGGTCGTTGTCTTGTTGGAACCCCCATTTCAAGGGCATTTCCTCTTCAGCATAAGGCAGCATGACCTCTTCAAGTATTCTGATGTATTCAAACTGATCCATGATCCCTGGTATGCGATAAATAGGCCCAACACCGTAGTATGAGAAACATCCCCATATCATGATTCTTGCACCACCATGCTTCACAGTCTTCACAGTGTACTGTGGCTTGAATTCAGTATTTGGGGGTCGTCTGACAAACTGTCTCCGCCCACTAGACCCAAAAAGAACAATCTTACTTCCATCAGTCCACAAAATGTTGCGCCATTTCTCTTTAGGCCGGTCAATGTGCTCTTTGGCAGATTGTAACCTCTTCAGCACACGTCTTTTTTCCAACAGTGGGACTTTGCGGGGACTTCTTGCAGATAGCTTGGCTTCACATCGGCGTCTTCTAATTGTAACAGTCCTCACAGGGAACGTCACACCTTCTTTCATCTTCCTGGAGCTGATTGTTGGCTGAGTCCGCGCCATGTGGCCTATTCTTCTATCCATTCCAATGGTAGTTTTTCGCTTTCTTCCGCGTCTTTCAGGTTTTGGTTGCCATTTTAAAGCATTTGCGATCATTTTAGCTGAGCAGCCGATCATTTTCTGCACTTCTTTATATGTTTTCCCTCCAATCAACTTTTTAATCAAGGTACGCTGTTCTTCTGAACAATGTCTGGAACGACCCATTTTCCTCAGAATTTCAGAGAGAAATGCACTGTAACCAGCATGTCCAACATTTGCTGCCTTCCTTCCTTAAATAAGGGCAATAATTGCCACCTGTTTATCAAAGAATGAATGACCTCACTAATAGAACTCCACACTATTATTTTGAACACGCCCCTTTCAATGAGTGATTCAATGACACAGAATCAGCAGCATGCATGTCATGACTGTCGGGTCTGTTGGATCTCTATTACTCTACTACACCTGCTAGGAAATTATTTGCCATGTAGAAATATCATTTCCACCAAAAACAGCGATTGATCCGGTTAGTGATGTCTGACTGCTATTATTTTGAACACAACTGTATATATATACAGTGAGGAACAGAAGTATTTGAACACTCTGCGATTTTGCAAGTTCTCCCACTTAGAAATCATGGAGGGGTCTGACATTCACATTGTAGGTGTCATTCCCACTCTGAGAGACAGAATTAAAAAAACAAATTCAGGAAATCACATTGTATGATTTGTAAAGAATGTATTTGTCTCGCACTGCTGAACAGAAGTATTTGAACACCTAAGAAACAGCAAGAATTCTGGCTCTCAAAGACCTGTTACTGCGCCTTTAAAAAGTCCACCTCTACTCCACTCATTAATCTAACTTAGTAGCACCTGTCTGAGCTCTTTAAAGATACCTGTCCACCCCACAGTCAGTCAGACGCCAACTACTACCATGGGCAAGACCAAAGAGCTGTCAAAAGACACCAGAGACAAAATTGTGGACCTCCACAAGGCTGGAAAGGGCTACGGGGCAATTGCCAAGCAGCTTGGTGAAAATAGATCAACTGTTGGAGCAATTGTTAGAAAATGGAAGAGGCTAAAGACGACTGTCAGTCTCCCTCGGACTGGGGCTCCATGCAAGATGTTACCTCGTGGGGGATCACTGATGATAAGAAAGGTGAGGAATCAGCCCAGAACTACAAGGGAGGAGCTGGTCAATGACATGAAGAGAGCTGGGACCACAGTTTCAAAGGTCACTGTCGGTAGAACACTACGCCGTCATGGTTTCCAAATCATGCATTGCATGGAAGGTTCCCCTGCTCAAGTCATCACATGTCCAGGCCCGTCTGAGGTTTGCCAATGACCATCTGGATGATCCAGAGGAGGCATGGGAGAAAGTCATGTGGTCAGATGAGACCAAAGTAGAACTTTTTGGTCTAAACTTCACTCGTCGTGTTTGGAAGAAAAAAAGGATGAGTTGCATCTCAAGAACACCATCCCTACTGTGAAGCATGGGGGTGGTAAACATCATGCTTTGGGGGTGCTTTTCTGCAAAGGGGACAGGACGACTGCACTGTATTAAGGAGAAGATGAATGGGGCCATTTATTGTGAGATTTTGAGCAACAACCTCCTTCCCTGAGTCAGAGCATTGAAGATGGGTCGTGGCTGGGTCTTCCAACATGACAACGACCCAAAGCACACAGCCAAGATAACCAAGGAGTGGCTCCGTAAGAAGCATATCAAGGTTCTGGAGTGGCCTAGCCAGTCTCCAGACCTCAATCCAATAGAACATCTTTGGAGGGAGCTGAATCTCCGTGTTGCTCAGCGACAGCCCCGAAACCTAACAGATCTAGAGGAGATCTGTGTGGAGGAGTCGGCCAAAATCCCTGTTGCAGTGCAAACCTGGCCAAGGACTACAGGAAACGTCTGACCTCTGTAATTGCAGACAAAGGCTTCTGTACCAAATATTAACACGGATCTTCTCAGGGGTTCAAATACTTCTGTTCAGCCGTGCAAGACAAATAAATTCTTTACAAATCATACAATGTGATTTCCTGAATTTGTTTTTTTTTTATTCTGTCTCTCTGAGTGGGAATGCACCTACAATGTCAGACCCCTCCTGATTTCTAAGTGGGAGAACTTGCAAAATCGCAGGGGGTTCAAATACTTCTGTTCCTCATGTATATATATATATATATATATATATATGTGGTATATATATATATATATATATATATATATAAACATATGGTGTTACCCAGAAGTGAAACCCCTCACATTGTGTAAATATTTGATTCTCTCTTTTCATGTGACAACAACTGAAGAAATGACACTTTTACTACAATGTGACGTAGTCAGTGTACAGGTTGTATAACATGGAAATTTGCTGTCCCCTCAAAATAACTAAAAAAAAAACGCCATTAATGTCTAAACCGCTGGCAACAAAAGTGAGTCCACCCCTAAGTGACAAGGTCCAAATTGGGCCCAAAGTGTCAATATTTTGTGTGGACGCCATTATTTTCCAGCACTGCCTTAACCCTCTTGGGCATGGAGGTCACCAGAGCTTCACAGGTTGCCACTGGAGTCCTCTTCCACTCCTCCATGACAACATCACGGAGCTGGTGGATGTTAGGGACGTTGCGCTTCTCCACCTTCCGTTTGAGGATGCTCCACAGATGCTCAATAGGGTTTAGGTCTGGAGACATGCTTGGCCAGTCCATCACCTTCACCCTCAGCTTCTTTAGCAGGCAGTGGTGGTCTTGGAGGTGTGTTTGGGGCTGTTATGTTGGAATACTGCCCTGCGGCCCAGTCTCTGAAGGGAGGGGATCATGCTCTGCTTCAGTATGTCACAGTACATGTTGGCATTCATGGTTCCCTCAATGAACTGTAGCCCCCCAGTGCCGGCAGCACTCATGCAGTCCCAGACCATGACACCCCCACCACCATGGGGCCCCAGACCATGACACTCCCACCACCATGCTTGACTGTAGGCAAGACACACTTGTCTTTGTACTCCTCACCTGGCTGCCGCCACACACGCTTGACACCATCTGAACCTAATAAGTTGATCTTGCTGTCATCAGACCACAGGAGATGGTTCCAGTAATCCATGTCCTTAGTCTGCTTGTCTTCAGCAAACTGTTTGCGGCTTTCTTGTGCATCATCTATAGAAGAGGCTTCCGTCTGGGACGACAGCCATGCAGGCCAATTTGACGCAGTGTGCGGTGTATGGTCTGAGCACTGACAGGCTGACCCCCCCCACCCCTTCACCCTCTGCAGCAATGCTGGCAGCACTCATACGTCTATTTCCCAAAGACAACCTCTGGATATGACGCTGAGCACGTGCACTCAACTTCTCTGGTGGACCATGGCGAGGCCTGTTCTGAGTGGAACCTGTCCTGTTACACCGCTGTATGGTCTTGGCCACCGTGCTGCAGCTCAGTTTCAGGGTCTTGGCAATCTTCTTATAGCCTCGGTCATCTTTATGTAGAGCAACAATTCTTTTTTTTTTTAGATCCTCGGAGAGTTCTTTGCCATGAGGTGCCATGTTGAACTTCCAGTGACCAATATGAGAGAGTGAGAGCGATAACACCAAATGTAACCCACCCGCTCCCCATTCACACCTGAGACCTTGTAACACTAACGAGTCACATGACACAAGGGAGGGAAAATGGCCAATTGGGCCCAATTTGGACCTTGTCACTTAGGGGTGGACTGACTTTTGTTGCCAGCGGTTTAGACATTAACCCCCCTGGCGGTATTCCCGAGTGTAGCTCGGGGTAAAGTTTCAGTACCAAAAGCGGTAACCCCCCCCGAGCTACACTCGGGCTTACCATGCAGCGTTGCACAGGGATTCCCTGCAGCACTTACCTTGTCCTGCACTCCCGCGATGCGTCCCCTGCAGCGTCCCCGGCCATCTCCTCCGGCCGATGCCGGCATCCGGCTTCCTTGTGACGGTCTTGTGACGTCGGGGACGTACGGGCGCTGGAACTGGCAGCAAATTTGAAAATTTTAAAAAATGACTTTTTTTTAAACCGATTATTACATAGTATAACATTGCTGTATCAAACCATTTCACATACATTGTGTTCCGAGTGCTTTGTCCGGCGCCCTGCCTGCATTTTTACTGTTCTTTCTGCCTGGAAACTGAGAAACGTCCATGGCGTCCAAAAAGCGCCCCTTTAGGGCAGACGCGGTTTTAGACGGCTAGAGAACAGCGATAGTAAATCAGAACCACTTGCAGAATTGAGTGATAATGATTCGTGGGGGAAATTCCTCATCAGACACTGAAAACGATTCTGCGACTTTGCTCAGCGATGTGCGAACTTGGCGCTATATTTCACATTTCAGTGTTTTTGGTTTGATTATATTATTGAATTACATTTATTATTATATTGTTAGTTATTTTTTATGATTATTTATTAAATTATAATTTATGATTTCGGGTTTCAAATTTTATCCTCCCCGGGATGTTTACTAGACTCTTGTTCAGACAGATTTCAGTGAGTTATTCCTAAAAATTACAGGACTACAATAAAAAAAAATACATATTTCCATGCAAAAAAAATGTACCGCTTTCAGCACCAAAAATCGGAAATAATCAGACCGCCAGGGAGGTTAATGGCGGTGTGTTGAGTTATTTTGATGAGGGGGACAGCAAATTTACATATACAAGCTGTACACTGACAAGTCACATTGTAGCAAAGTGTCATTTCTTCAGTGTTGTCACATGAAATGAGAGAATCAAATATTTACACAAATGTGAGGGGGGGACTCACTTCTGGGAGATACTGTGTACTACATACGGTGCTCGGTTTATAGAATAATTACAGTGCTGGGTATATATAATACATACGGTGCTGGGCGTATAGGATACATACGGTGCTGGGTGTATAGGATACATACGGTGCTGGGCGTATAGGATACATACGGTGCTGGGTGTATATAATACATACGGTGTTGGGCGTATATAATACATACAGTGCTGGGCGTATATGATATGTTCAGTGCTGGGCGTATATGATACATATGGTGCTGGGCGTATATGATACGTGCGTTGCTGGGCGTATTTGTTACATACGATGCTGGGCATATATGTTACGTACAGTGCTGGGTGTATATAATACATACGGTGTTGGGTGTATATGATATGTTCAGTGCTGGGCGTATATAATACTAACGGTGTTGGGTGTATATGATACATATGGTGCTGGGCGTATATGATACATATGGTGCTGGGCGTATATGATACGTGCTGGGCGTATTTGTTACATACGGTGCTGGGCATATGTTACGTACAGTGCTGGGTGTATATAATACATACGGTGTTGGGCGTATATGATATGTTCAGTGCTTCATGATACATATGGGCGACGTATATGATACGTGGTGCTGGGCGTATTTGTCACATACGGTGCTGGGCTTATATGATACATACGGTTGCTGGGCGTATTTGTTACATACGATGCTGGGCATATATGTTACGTACAGTGCTGGGTGTATAGGATACATACGGTGTTGGGTGTATATGATATGTTCGGGTGCTGGGTGTATATAATACATATGGTGCTGGGTGTATATTTGTTATGTTACGGTGCTGGGTGTATATGATACGTACAGTGCTGGTATAGATACATACGGATCCTGGGTGTATATGGTATGTCTGGGCAGTGGCTAGTTGATGGGGGAGGGAGGTATTCTGAGCAGTTGATGGGGGGAGGGGGATATTTCTGGGCAGTGGCTGGGGGGGGGGGAATATTCTGGGGAGTTGATGTGGGAGGAGAGGGGGGTATTCTGAGCAGTGGGATGGGGGGGGGGGTATTCTGAGCAGTTGAGGGGGGAGGGGAAGGAGGGTATTCTGTGCAGTGGATGGGGGGGGGGGGAATATTCTGGGGAGTTGCTGTGGGAGGAGAGGTAGGTATTCTGGGCAGTTGGGCAGTGGAGAGGGGGGGGTGGGTTATTCTGGGGGAGTTGATGTGGAGGGGAGGGGGGGTATTCTGGGCAGTGGATGGGGGGGGGTATTTTGGGAGTTGATGTGGGTGGTGAGGGAGGTATTCTGGGCAGTTGGGCAGTGGAGGGAGGGGGGTTATTCTGGGGAGTTGCTGTGGGAGGAGAGGTAGGTATTCTGGGCAGTGGAGGGGGGGGGGGGTTATTCTGGGGAGTTGATGTGGGAGGGGAGGGGGGGTATTCTGGGCAGTGGATGGGGGGGGATATTTTGGGGAGTTGATGTGGGTGGTGAGGGAGGTATTCTGTGCAGTGGAGGGGGGGGGGGGTAGTAGTATTGGTGTGATGTAGCACATGACACACACGGAGTCGGTGGCCGATGCTCCGATACACACACCGATCGGAGGATTTCTGTCCTTTATCCCCCAGCAGAGGCCCCCAGCGATCCCGGACTCTGATGGCTGGAGCCGCACTGTCTCCTCCGGACCGCTGGGTGTCGCTGTCGGTGGGGGGGAGGGGTAGGGATGCCCGGCGGGGAGAGAAGAGACCAGACATGAAGACCCCGACCGGGAGACGGTGAGTGATCGGAGCACCGACCGGGGAGGGGGGGAGCACCACCGGGGATCGGCTGTACATTGCACCGTCAGTGTGTCACCCCAATCCACCTCCGACACCCGACCCTGCACCGATATCTGTGCACCTCCCCCCCCCCCCCCGGACATCACTGCACTGATAACGGGGTCACCCATCTCCCTCTATAGATCAGTATCTTCCCAATATATCAGTGCCCAATATGCCCCCCCCCCCCATAGATCAGGCTCCTCCCTATAGATTAATGTCCCCCCTCCCTTATAGATAAGTCTCCTCCCCTATAGATCAGTATGCCCCCCCCCCATAGATCGGTGTCCCCCCCCCCTCCCCTATACATAAGTCTCCTCCACATAGATCAATGTCCCCCCCTCCCTATAGATCAGTATGCCCCCCCCCCCCATAGATCGGTGTCCCCCCCCCCTATAGATAAGTATCCTCCCCATAGATCAATGTCCTCCCCCCTCCCATAGATCAGTATGTTCCCCCCCCCCATAGATCAGTATGCCCCCCCCCATAGATCGGTGTCCCCCCTCCCCTATAGATAAGTCTCCTCCACATAGATCAATGTCCCCCCCCTCCCTATAGATCAGTATGTTCCCCCCATAGATCAGGCTCCTCCCCATAGATCAATGTCCCCCCCTCCCCTATAGATCAGTATGTCCCCCCCCCCCTCAATAGATCGGTGTCCCCCCCTCCCCTATAGATCAGTCTCCTCCCCTATAGATCAGTATGCCCCCCCCATAGTTCGGTGTCCCCCCTTCCCTATAGATAAGTCTCCTTCCCATAGATCAATGTCCCCCCCCTCCCTATAGATCATTATGTTCCCCCCCCCCATAGATCAGTCTCCTCCCCACAGATCAATCCCCCCCCCATAGATCGGTGTCCCCACCCCCCCTCCCCTATAGATCAGTCTCCTCCCCGTAGATCAATGTCCCCCCCCAATAGATCACTGTCTTCCCCTAATATTTCAGTGCCCCTATTATTTTTATCCTTCCCCCCCCCCCCCCCCCCCCCCCCGATATGTCAGTGTCCCCCCCTCCCCCTAATTTTCCTATTTATCAGTAAACATTCTTTCAGTAGAATTGTAGGCAAAACTTTTTTTTTTCATTTTGGATGGAGTGAGGGGGGGGGGGGGGGGGGGGGGGTTACACCCTGTCAGATTATTTTTCACCATCTATGTCCCCATTGGGGAGATTAACCTTCACTTCCTGTCCCATAGCCATATCTTCCTATGTATCCTCCTCTATATCGGTGTCCTCCTCTGTATCCTCCTCTATATCGGTGTCCTCCTCTGTATCCTCCTCTATATCGGTGTCCTCCTCTGTATCCTCCTCTATATCGGTGTCCTCCTCTGTATCCTCCTCTATATCGGTGTCCTCCTCTGTATACTCCTCTATATCGGTGTCCTCCTCTGTATACTCCTCTATATCGGTGTTCCCTATTTCTGTATCCTCCTTCTATATCGGTTCCTCCTCTGTATCCTCCTCTATATCGGTGTCCTCCTCTGTATCTTCTTTCCTCTATATCGGTGTGTCCTCCTCGGTGTATACTCCTCTATATCGGTGTCCTCCTCTGTATACTCCTCTATATCGGTGTCCTCCTCTGTATACTCCTCTATATCGGTGTCCTCCTCTATACTCCTCTATATCGGTGTCCTCCTCTATATCAGTGTCCCCCCTCTGTATTCCTCCTCTATATCAGTGTCCTCCTCTATACCCCCCTCTATATCGGTGTCCTCCTCCTGTATCCCCTCTTTATTGGTGTTTCTTATATCTCCTGTATCCTCCTCTATATCGGTGTGTCCTTCCTCTGTTTCCTCCTCTGTATCCTCCTCTATATCGGTGTCCTCCTCTGTTACTTCTCTATCCTCCTCTATATCGGTGTCCTCCTCTGTATCCTCCTCTATATCGGGTTGTCCTCCTCCCCCTCCCCTCCTCTATATCGGTGTCCTCCTCTATACTCCTCTCTATATCGGTTGTCCTCCTCTATATCAGTGTCCTCCTCTGTATCCTCCTCTATATCGGTGTCCTCCTCTATACTCCTTGTATACTCCTCTATATCGGTGTCTCTCCTCCCCCCTCCTCTATATCAGTGTCCTCCTCTATACTCCTCTATATCGGTGTCCTCCTCTATATACCCCCCTCTATATCGGTGTCCTCCTCTATATTCTCCTCTATATCGGTCCTCCTCCTCTGTATCCTCCTCTATATCGGTGTCCTCCTCTGTATATCCTCCTCTACATCAGTGTCCTCCTCTGTATCCTCCTCTATATCAGTGTCCTCCTCTATACTCCTCTATATCGGTGTCCCTCCTCTATATCAGTGTCTCCTCTGTATCCTCCTCTATATCAGTGTCGTCCTCTATACTCCCTCTATATCGGTGTCCTCCTCTATGTTCCTCTTATCAGTGTCCTCCTCTGTATCCTCCTCTATATCAGTGTCCTCCTCTGTATCCTCCTCTATATCAGTGTGTCCTCCTCTGTATCCTCCTCTATATCAGTGTCCTCCTCTGTATCCTCCTCCTCCTATATCAGTGTCCTCCTCTGTATCCTCCTCTATACTCCTCTGTATCAGTGTCCTCCCTCTGTATCAGTGTCCTCCCTCT